TAGTGTAAAATAACTAATTTTCATTCAGATAAAGTAATAGGTGGTATTACAGTCCAGTTTTCTATTGCTGGCCCATCCCTGCACTATCTGTGTTTTACGATAGCAAGATAAAGCACTAAAAATATTATTTGGAAAAGAGTGCCAAACAGATATCACTCTAAGGTCAATTAAAAGTTAAACAGGAAAACAAACATATTTATAGAAAGTTCAAATGGAATGTAAATTTATTCTTTATTTATAATCAAAATTATATTTGGATAAAGATGCACATACAAGTGCATTATTTCTCTAAAGTTCCATTGATAAAAATGCTTGCTTGGATTGCAAGCAATAATGGGCATGTTTGTTTTTCCACAAATAACAAATTACAAACACATATAAATTTCATGATATCTGTGAGGGCATAGACTAGATACAAGATCTTTTGGATTATATTCCACATAGTACAGAAGAAATTAGGATAAATTATTTTTCAAACATTTAGATAGCTACAGAGAGAGAGCATGTTTGCTATTTTGCCAATTCCTCTTAGGACCTTGTAATATCCAATTCCAAAGATTGTCTAAATCAGAAATTGGCAAACTATAGCCAAACGACATCAAGTCTAATCTACTGCTAGTTTTTGTAAATAAAAGTTTTATTGGATCATAATACTTGTTTGTTTATGAATTGTCTGTGCTCAACTAGCAAAGAGAAGTAGTCACAACAGCAAAAACCTGGCCCAAATTATTTACTATCTGGTACTTTATCAGAAAGTTTATCCCTAATCTTGTTTATCATTGTTGAATATAAAAATAAAAATGCAAACCACATATGTTATTTTAAATTGCTTGTGACTGTATCATAAAACAAAAAGAAACAGGTTAAATTGACTTTCACAGCATGTCTTACTTAGTTCCATACAGCACTTTTTTGACTTATGATGGATATACATTCTGCTAAGCCCATCATCAGTTCAAATTATTGTAAGTCTTATTTGCAATTAATATACCTAATCAACCAAACAACATAGCTTAGTCTAGCGTCACACATCTCAGAACTTATAGTACTCTACAGCTGAGCAGTTATCTGGCATAAAGTCTATTTTTTAAAATATGTTGAATATGTCATGTAATTTGTGGAATACTGAAGGTGAAAAACATAATGCCCCAATTCACAATTTGAATATAGTTTTGCTGCATGTATATCACTTTCACACCTTCATTAAGTCAAAAAAAAACATCTTAAGACAGGGACCACTGATATATCCAAAATATCTTTTTAACATAGTGCTAGCCAAATGTCAATTACTTAATAGCTATTTGTGGTTAATGGCTACCACCTTACACAGTGCAGGCCTGCATAAGCAAACCGGAATGTGAACCCATTCTGTGGAAAATCAGTTTGAAAAAAAGACATTCCTGGCACATTACAATAGGTCTAAACTATGGCAATTAAAATAATCCTCCTTATCCTTTTACTCATTGTATAGACAATACAGAAAAATAATTTAAAGCCAGCCAATCAACAGATAAAATAAACCTTCTCTCTTTAAAGTACTATAAAGTTAGAAAGATTTTTTTGCCCCATAAAGATGATTTTAGTCAGGCTGTTTATTTCCTGCTTTGAAGCTAAATTCATGCCACTGCAATTTAAACAGTTTCTATCTTGTTTTATCCCCAGCAGAATCTGAGAAAAAGCAGTTCCCCATCACTAATATGATATTGTATTCCTTTAAATCCTTTAAGACTCTGGCCCTCTCTTACCCCAAAGATTTTTTCTTTGTCTAGCTGTAAAGTTCAGCTCCTCCAGCATTTCAAATTGGACCCATTTTCAAAATGCTTTATTGTATTTATTGTTTTCTTTTCCTAAATCTATATACACTCTTCCAATGCAAGGAGAGAAAGTGAATGCAGCATTCTAACACAGACTAAATATTGATAAACACAGAGAACTCACTGCACAGATCTTACATGCTGTTCTGACATCCAACAGTTCACTACTGGGAAATATTTCACTTATGTCTCACTAAAGTACACACACACACACACACACACACATACTCCTAAAGCATATAGTATCCTTAGTTCTAAGTTTCACTGACATACTGGTCCTCATTTTTCCCACCTAAAATGTGTGTGATTCAAATCTTTGTCTTTAAAATGTGCTTTTTTCTTAAGAAAACTCGTGCATGTTAAAATATTAACAATAAAGAGAACAGAGAACTTGTAAGTAACCTTAAAAGGCCATGCTTATCAAATTTGTAAATAAAATGATTAAATAAAAGGTCTAACTCTATGAGGATGAACTACTAAAAGAACAAAGTATGGTAGAAACGGAGATATGTAGTACATTATTAGAGAAGCTATAATTTAGGAGAAGCATAGATTTAAAATAGCTCTAGTTAACACTAAGTTCAATAATAATAGAAATATATAGGACAAAGGAGGTGATAGCGCTGTGTGATTCAATTCTCTGATTCTGTAGTGATGACTGGGAATCAGTCATCTGTGGTAAAATGCAGCAGTTAGGGAATAAAGTTGGAATCAGTCTAAGAGTAGGAAAATAAGACCCTGGTCTTTTATTGTTTTCTGGAGTCAAGAAAGAAACAAAATTATGTAAAGAAAATGAAATCTATATATACTATTATCACTACCCAAGGGGTAGCTCTGAGGTCCTCCAAGAAACTGAAAGAAACAGCAATCAGTTTACCTTGTGGGAATTAAACTAGTAAAATAGGAACTTCAATGAGATCTGTTCTTGCTGACCATCAGCATCTGAAATGCATGAGTCAAGAGGTATCTCCAACTTTTCATCTATTCCAGCATCTCATTTCCAGTATGAGAAGCACACTCTATTATGAACAGACAACAACAAAGCTACATTAAGATGTGAATGCTTGACAGTCAGCTAGGTTCACTCACAGAACTTTATCTATCCCAACCTACAATACATATGCGTGATTCAATTTTGGGCCTTAGGAGACAAAAACTTTGTGACTTTCACCTTCAGTTGTGAATGTTCAAGTTTGATCAAATCAATATAATTGACCTTATAAAACATGACATCTTTCCCCTATAGTCCTCCTATAAGTGAAACCATCCGATATTTTTCTTTTTCCTTCTGACTTCTTTCACTGAAAAAGGTTAAATTGACTTTCCAAATTAAGGCATTAGGAAAAAAATAATAACAATAAAAAACAAAACAAAAATAAATCGTCAACTATAAATCAAAGACATTCTGCAGGGGAGGGGTAAGGAGAGGGGTCAAGATGAGGGAGGGAAGAGCACAAGGGAGTATGGTGATGGAGCACAGGTGAACTGGTGTGGAAATTCTATGGGGACTACTTCTGAGAAAGGAAAGCAAACATTGTAAAAAAAAAATGAAAAGAGATGTAAAATTTATATTAATTAATTTAAAAAATGACATCTTTCAAGTTAAGAACATGAAAAACAGATTTCAGGTTTGTAAAAACAATTTAACCAAATGAGAAAAGAAAAAGAATAGCTATAGCCTAATCACTTGGTTTTTAACATCTGAAGGAGGAAAGTGCAAAACAAATTAGTGGTTTACATGGAGTTTTAAAAAGAGAAATCAAAGACATAGACTATTTTTCCCCAATGTATATCAGTCTTGACTAAGGGAGATGGTGCCTTGATGGGCTGAAAGGGATGACTGCTTTAGACTCTCAGACCTCAATGACTAAATATCCCCTGATTCTGACTCCAAGCCTATCAAGGAAACCTACATTATATTTCCAACTCACTTCCTCTCCCCGTCCTGGTAGCTTTGCTAAAAGAGAATATGCTAAGTAATGAGAAGCTTCAATTATATTTAACATAGTAAATTAATTTATTGCCATTCTGACTTATATATTCATTTCTTAGGTGCTTGTTTATGTGACTCAGATTTCAAAAGGTTGACAATCCCTAGCCTAACTGATTAAATCTAAATCAGGTTTCTAAATCTAAAAATCTGAATAACATGTGCTGGCACCCCTGACCCAAGCCTGCTACGGTGAGGATGGGCCTGAGCAGCCTGTTGGTCTTTCTTAAAGATGACACATTCTTTTGCTTCTAACTACATATGCACACCTGAGATCAAAGCTTAAAGTTCTTGTTAATGGTATTTTAACAGTCTTCATAAAATCATGAAAAAATGGAAAATGTTAATAATTTATAATTAAAAATCAGTTTAAAAGCTTAGAATTCTCACTCGAAATACAGCCCAGAATTTGAAAAAAGTTTCAGGTTTATAGATCTGATATTCATAAAAATGAAACAAAAAATCCATATATTGAGTCAAAGGAAAACAGTTTATATCAGTAATAATATATACACACAATATAGAGCATGGTAGTGATTAAACATAAATAGACAATATTATGAAAATATGTTTACATGAAAACATACCACATTAGACATATGCATGTAAATGGCACAGTTACAGCATGGTAAAGTAATAACTTGGAGGTATAGGAAACAAAAAAAACCAGAAAAATAACAAAACTAGTTCAAATATCTGTGAGACTAGTTGACATGGTCATGAGAATAAATGCAAATGCAATCACTGTGTATTAACTGAGATTTGGAATCCTAAGGAACTGGTGATCCTGGAATTGCTGAGTATAACAAAATAATTATCCCCACAAGATAGTTTTTCTGATACTTTTTCATTTATTTGTAATAAGCATTTTAAAAAGAGGTTAACTATTTTCAGTTGAATAATAAAGATGTATCCAAACCCAAAATACAGTTTTCTCCCCCACTCCTCACACTGAAAACCATCTCGATTTCAAGAGTTAATATATAATTGGCTCAATTTTGATAAGCCAGAACCGATCATGTCAAAAGGAATGCTGTGAATACAATAATCACTCAGAAAGTTATCTCAATTCACCCCAGATCACTTGGTTTCTATGTTCTGTTTATAAGCTGATATTTAATTGCCACGCATTATGAAAGCCTATTACTTCTCACTTTCATTGACAATGTTCTTTGTGAGAGGCTGCTTTAACTTACCTTCCATGAAGACTCCACCTGCAGACCAGGGCAGGGTATTGGCCCAAACTGGTAGGAGCTGGATGATCTCTGTTCTATACTTTTGTGCTTATGTGTCTCTGAGGCAAGTGCAAGTACAGATTCAGGCTTTAGAAGCTGTGAATCATCACAACAATTAAGAATAATTTTGGCCCTTTCTCCTGTTTCATGTCTTTCCAAAGTGCCTAGAACACAAGATTAGAAATAAAAATATATACAGAATATTAACCCTCCAAAACAAAACAAAAAACACTTTTAACAGAAAATGACAGAACTTGACGTTCTCTCATGCCTGTCTTCTTGCAACCAGACAACAAACTGGGAGCTCTCTCTAAATTATTCAAATCATTGTCGAACAAAGGTTGAAATTATGGACTGGAAATGCTCATCTTCTTCCTTGTGCTTTTTATCCACAGAAATCAACAGGGCATTCAATAATCTTTAACAGTAAAATCTCTTATTTTACAGTATGCAAGTGATCAATAACAAACAACTATGGAATATTTTAGTGCTGTCCCCTAGTGTTTCAACTCTCAAACAACAGAGAATGCACAGAGTTTTTGCTTTGCTTGGGTCCCCAAACTTAAAATGTTTCTATGGCGAAGGCAGAATTTAAGTGAATAGGGCAAGTGAGAACATAGATGCTTTGTGTTTCAACCTTTCTCACCCACAACCCTCACAGCATCAGGCACCTAGAACACTCAGGGCTTTGTTGTTATTGTTGGTGGTGGTTATTGTTGCAGTTATAACCTTTAGCATTCATTTCTTATGTTATGAGAAGGGGGAAAAAATCCTTTGCCCTCTTCTCTCTTCTCTGCCACTTTTTTTTTTTAGTTTCAGAATTTCAAGGTGCTGGCAGGTTCAATTTAAAGTTAAAAGGAACAAATGAAAAATGGAACACAAGTATCAGAAGACGATTCAGTAAAATCTCAATAAATATGAATTAATCATGCCCACTGCCTGTAACAGTTATGAGTGCATTTATATTATTTATACTTTATTAAATATATAACCTACATCCTACTAAGTACAGATGCAAAGGAAGATTAACTTGACATACAATCTAAACACAGGTTTCATTTCATATTATTCCTTTCCTATCAATGAAAAAAAAGCAGTTGTACCATTTGTTAAGAAGGAAAAATACAGTTCTTTAGATAGTATTAATAAAATATCAATTTAAAGTAATATATGAAAATAGAAATAAGGGTTCTGTATCACTGACTTTCAATAGATTTGAAGATTATGACTGACCAATCCTTCCTCATTTTTCCTCCTCTCCTCCACACTTTCCCTTTGCAGCAAATAAAATACCATTAGTTTGTACTTTAGATCGCTAGCATTTATAATGTTAACATGTTGGGCAGAAATTGCTTTCTTACACAATTTTTTTCATTATAACATTTCTACATTGATAAATTAACACCTTTAGCATGTAAAACAAATAAACATCTTGTTTCTTTAAACTTTCCTTTTCCATCAAAGCTAATACATCTTCGACAAATGAAGCTGGCAGCACTATCAAGAAACACTTTTTCTCAAGAATGACAATAAAAAGCGTATATTAAAAAAAAAGATAATAGTTATTTCTACTTCCTGAAAATGACTATATTCCAGAACTTGTAACTGTGACATCTGGTGAAAGTCTCTGTTTATGAGGAATTTTTTAAAATATGATATCACCATGGATATTTCTTCTTAAGGGTTTTCTGTTTCTCCCAAAACTATATGTTTTTTTAAAGAGTAAGAATTTTGGGGTAATAATTTATTATACTTTATTATGCTTTAATACATATATGCACCTCAAATACATTGCCATGTTCTTACTGATGCCTCAAGAATTTGGAATTGGAAGAACTGCAAGTCAGCCTGTGAATGTTAACTTGACCCACAGATTTGCCATTTCTTGTCTCATGGACTGAGGAACAGAACATGCTAGTCTGCAGAAAGGAGGAGAAAATACACATAGAGAAGCAGAGAGGGAGAGGGAAGGAAAGAGAGATGGACGTGGGGAGGAGTGAGCATGATCCAAATTTCTACCCCACTGTTAGTCCCTTGCTGAGGAAGACTGTCCCTGGAGGTGCCTGCAGTACACCCTTGAACCCTTTGCAATGAGTACCTCATTTTGATAAAACCAACTTAACTTGGCTTCTGCTGGTAGCTACCAACATGGCCCTAACAAAGAAAGGAAAGAAAAGATGTGTCTATTGTTGTAAAAGTCAGTTTTGAGAACATCTAAAGAGGCATGCACAGTTCACCTGTACGCTTCTAGGTAGAGACTAGAGCAGAGAGATGGAAGCTTCAGCAGCCTCAGCAGATAGGTAAGGATGAAATTCCAATGAAAGAATGTGAGCTCCAGGAGCTTGGCGTGAGATGTGTCATGAGAGCAGCACAAATCTTTTAACAGTTTCTGCACAGAGAGAGGAAAGAAAAGAAGGAAGATTCAGACACTTGTGAATATGTGTGTTGTTAAAATACAGCTGTGTTTAAAATGCATTAGGATTGTCAATATTTATAGGGCACTTATAGTTTGGCTTTATTTTTTTTAAATTGGGCAAATAATCATTTTGAGAGGTGACTGCTCTGAAATCTGATTATTTATAGTATCAGGTTCTCTTAAAGGAAGACCATGTAGTTTTCAATACACATAGTTTTAGTGGACCTGGGGAACTTTATGTTCCTATAGTAATACTATTTCTACAATGTATCATGTATGCCATGATGGCTGCTGCCTTTAATTGTGATAGAAATGCAAAGCAGAGGGTAAAGAGAATACTTTCAGGTGATGAAACAAGCCTTATTGATGTAATAGATTTGAATATCTACTTAAAGAAAGGGAAGATGGGGTAGTAGTATATTATAAATTAATTCTGTTCTGAACAGCCAGAACAGAGTGTATTTTGCCTTGTAATTTGCTCATGCTTTTAGTATTTTGTAAATATTTAAAACCCAATGTTTTTTTTCCATTTTCACTCATACTTGCTTTCCAAAATTAAAATAGCTATCATATCCTATTATCAACCTACTATCAATTAACCAATAGTCTTAATATACATATTTTAACTCCTCCTCCCTCCCCCCGCCCCCCGTCAGACAAAGTCAATCCTACAAGTTAACAGCTATGACCACTGAGTCTGAGAAAATGAATTGCTACTATCCCCCAAGGAAAGAAAATGGTTAATAAAAATAGTCACCTGCTGAATCTATCTGCAAAGGATCAAGAGTAAATTAAGATTCAAAAATAATACCCAGATGTGTTAACATTTTGCCACATTGCCCAGAAAAATTTTATTTACTTAAAAATCATACATAAGTCAATTAGAAACAGTAATTGATTTACTATAACTTATGGTGCTTCCCTTCAGAAGAACATTGCAAACTGGCAAATTTTAAACAATTTTTTGCACTCACACAAAAAAGAAATATCTTCAATTCTATATTTAATTACATGTTTATTGTGGAATTGTAAAAATGCTGGAATTCAGTAAGTAATTCCAATTATGTGGTTAGTAATGAATATAAACTGTCCTTACATGAACAAAGCTTAATGGTAGAACAGATGAGTGGCCACATTATAGGTCTTTTCTACATCAGGTAGGCACTTTCTAACTGAAATCACTACCGTATTGGGCAGAGTTATATTTCAAACTTTTTCTAAAATAGAAGAGACTAAAAAACCAGCTTCACTACTAAATTTAGTAGTCAAATTCATAACATCAGATTTCAACAATACAGCTGACAGACAGTTAACAATCAATTCAAAGACTCAGGGAATTTGACCACTGGATCAGCTGTAAGATGCATCATTTTTCTTCAGTTACACATGGAATTCATTACTCTGCTCACAGAAGTGTATGGAGATGGACCTGGCGCCCCCTTCCTAACAAAATCATTTCACAGTTACTGCATCTTACTCCAGAAAATGTGTAACTGATGGGGGTTCTGACCAGGGATGGCGACCCTGGAGGAATCAAACTTTGCTAAGAGAAAACAGTGGTCGTGAGGGGAAATGAAATGAATCTGAAAATACTGAATTAGACATAGAGGTGCTTACCTCTTCATTCTGAAATGTATGTGAATATGATAGATTCAGCTGTAGAACGGCAGGGTTTGTTTTGTTCTATGTAATAGTCCTAATATGATAACAAATTCACCACTGCCTGCACCTTGAGGGTACACAGAATACATTTTCACAAAGCCCTGACCACCATGACCTTAACCGCAGGGCTGCCACAGCCCCCAGCACATTCAGCGCAACACTGGGATTTATCAGCTGAGCTACACTCAACCCTCACATCTAATCCTGCCCACTGACCTCCACAAAAACAAAATAAAGGGGTTGTTCTGGTGGGGAGAGGAAAACAAGACTGAAACACATTGAGGTTTAATGTTACTGACCTGTATAAATAACACAATGCATCAATTTTAAACAAATTTTAAATGAGGTTTTTCTTGGTAAGATATTTATCTATTAAATACCTTTCCTTCTTAAATGTGTGTTGACAACATGGAATCTACTATCACCATGCTTTTCATTTTCAGCCTCATGGTAAAACTTAATATAACTTGCAACTAATTAAGAAGGTGAATATTTACAGAAAAGTATTTCTGCATTATTAGATGAAAATATATTATCTGTCTATAACTGCCTATTATATACAAATTACTAAAATTATACTGCTTCTAAGTATTACAAACATTACTCACTTTGTATTGATGGGATTTTTTATATCAGGAATGCTTATTTTTTAATTTTAAAGTATTTAAAAAATGGCTTTCCTTCCTCCTCACATTCTTTTTTTTTTTTAAAGATTTATTTATGTATATTTAAGAACTGGTGTACAGGTCAAAGGTGTGGGGGGTGATAGGATTCACCAGGGACAGTTTGGGGAACAGAACAGGCAGATTGACTGAAGTACACTGTTGAGGGTAGCAGTGGGCGAGACAGGAGAGGTCTGCTGTGCCAATGTAGGTAGCTCCTTGGCCGGGGATCGAACTCGTGCTGCAGTGGCTGAGGATAGCTTCATAGGTTGCGTCTTAATCCCCGCCCCTCACGTTCTTGACTGAAGGCTAAGCTACTTATGGAACACAATATGCTTGATGAGATTTGCATATATCATTTATTCACCTTGCTAAATTGATCTGAAATTTTCCCTTTAAGAGGAAAAGTATTGGAAAATGAAAA